CTCTCTCTCTCTCTCTCTCTCTCGTGTGTGTGTGAGTATGTGCATGTGAGTGAGTGAGGGTGTGTGTGTATGTGTGTGCGTGCGTGAGTGTGTGTGGGGGTGTCTAGAGAGTGAATGATTTTGTGAGTTTAATTTTTTTTGTGTTAGACCGACCGACCGACCGACAGACAAAGAGATAGATAGATAGCTAGATAGATAGCTAGATAGCTAGCTAGCTAGCTAGCTAGCTAGCTAGCTAGCTAGCTAGATAGATAGATAGATAGATAGATAGATAGATAGATAGATAGATAGATAGATAGATAGATAGATAGATAGATAGATAGATAGAATTCTTTCGCAATCACGGTATAATGACTCGTTTATCGTTTTTGCATTCAACACTGGTGGAGTTGTCTGTCAGTAGAGCAAACAGACTGTTGTACACTTCATCAAGGTGCAGAGATCTGGGCTCTAAGTACACAAGGAAGGGCGGCTGTCACTAGGCCTAATAATGAGCAAGCAAAAGTGAACCCAAGAGCTGTTTTTTGTTTGAGGGTAGCTGGTGTTGATTTCCGAGCTGTAGGCCAGAGATTAATTACTCTAAGCGGTAAGAGAAAAAGAATGGATGCGGAAGTCTACAACGCAGTAAAAAAAATTTTTTCTAGTGTTTTACGGCACTTGCAACACAATGAGGTCATATAAGTGCCGAAATTAGAGGTTTTACAAGGGAGTAACATACAGAAAAATAACTAGGGGAGATAAAAACAACTACACCGGAGCACCCGCCAACCACCTACTCACATGGCAGTTTAAGACACATTGATTTTTTAACACAACACTAACATTTCGGCATATTTTAACCGGTTGAAGGTGTAAAATAAAATACACAAAACAAACTGAACCCCCCCCCAAAAAAAAAACAAGAACAAACATACGAAAGTGACACTCACATTCCCCACACTCAGATTTTTGGCAAGTAATAGTAATACAATCATGTCGATGTCAACAGAGATTTCGCTTTCATTATCATCACGCACCATAAATTATGAAAAACTAAGCAGATTTTGATTTTGAGTTTGTATAACAGGCGTGTTGACTCGACAACGGTGATTTATGAATGACCGAACGCAAAAGAAATCAGTAGAGGTGTGAGGGACTTCCCGTGGCGGTCCCAAACTCCACTCCAACCACCTGTCCGACTAAAATGCTCATTAGAGTTGGGAAAAGAGTCGATTCCCACGATTAATACCTTATACTATCTTTGTTAATACTATGGAAGCCCGTCTCCTTTTTACGTCAACCAACGGTTGCCATTTACTTTTACTTTTATCATTAAAATCTTCTTCTTTTTTAAAAGAATTTATTTTTGAAAAACAGACGTCAATGCATCGTATTGTTCTGAAATCAACGTTATCCCAAATCATGAAGATGTGCGGAGCCAACCAGGTAACCACCGGCAAAAATCATATAATTAAATTAGAAAGTAAGTAATCGGGTTCGGAGTCGATTTTTACGAATCCTCCTAGCTTTCAATAATCGGGAACCTAGCCGCCCAGCATAAATTGCTCATCGAATACATCTTATATAAGTTATAGTCTCCAGTTGCAGCAACAATTTCGGCAAACGTGTCTGTCAGAGCTTTAAAATAGATGTAGTTGCTGGGAGAATGCGTGGGGGCAATCTAACTGGAGGCTTGCAAAGGGCATGGCAGCGGTAACGAAATGGTGATGAATGCGAAACTCGTCGATGCTAATTAAACAGAGGACTTAAACGGGGGTTTGGCGTCTCGTGGTGGAAAACGACGACTAAAATGTGGTCAGGGTACGACAGACTGGTAGATGCTTTTAGAAGACATTTTGTTAGTTTAAAGTAAGCTTACTGCAGGACATTTTTCTTGTTGATTTTACCTATCTATCAGCCCCCCCCC